TTTGTTCTTTTTGGCTTTTCTTCCCCCCCCCCCCCTCCGCTGGGTCATCCCTGTTAATTTAGCCCAGAATAGATAGCTAGGATGCATTTTGAGTTTCATTTGTAGACAGAGGGATGAATTAGCAGTCCTTGTCTTTTGTCAACATACTTCACAGCAATGTGTTGAGGTACAAATAAAATGGAAGAGGTTGTGAGTAAAGTTTAAAAACAAGGAGCTAAAACAGGGGTTCTTAAACTGGGGATCATGACTCCTTAGGGCAGGTCTGCTCAACTTTGGAAGCCCCAGGGGCCACAATGATACTCATAGGACATGCTGAGGGCTGCAACTTAAGTGTAGTTGCAAATATATATGCCAATAGGTTCTTTCACATTGATGGGCATGAATGCAAAGCATTTCCCCCAGTACCTCCGTGCTCCTGGTACCTCCTCCCTAGGGGCTAGAAATGCCGACACCCTGTACCCGTCTCTTCCAGCCAGCCCTTCCGTTTGCGCCTTTCATTGCTCATCCGCCAGGGAGACGCCTCGCCATTGTGGAGTGCGTTCCCAATGGAGGCTTGTTCAAAGGATTCCACCCATGGGCCGCATGTTGAGCTGTTTGTAAAACCAAACCTCACCGTGGGCCCCAAACAAATGGGCCGCGTGTTGAGTAGCCCTGCCTTAGGGGGTTGCAAAATTACTATGTGGTGAGTCACAAGCTGTCCGCCCCAAACCCACACCCCGCTTCATCTCCAGCATTTATAATATAGGTTGAACCTCTCTAGTCCAGCACTTTCTGCTCCGGCAATATCTATGGTCCGGCATGATTTTATTTAGTCAGATGTCCACTTTTCATGGGTGGGGCCAAGTTTCCCGCAGCCCCATAAAGTTTGTGGATAGCCCTCAGGCCTGGCTTTCAGTGTTCTGTGCTGTTTAGCTCTAATTGACCGTCAGTGTCTCCTAAGAGCCCAGCAAGCAATAGAAGTGTTGGTGATGCTGCTAGGCCATATTAACCTTCTGTGGTTTTGGCAAATTCTCTGGTTTGGTGCCAGTCAGGTTGCTAGATGCCAGGCTGCAGAGGTTCAACCAGTCGTGTTTAAAATAAGTGTTTTTTAATATATGGGGAGAGTGGCACTCTAAGGTGTGTTGTGTGAAAGGGGTGGCCAATACACTAGTGTGAGAACCACTGAGCTAGAATGAGGTTTACAAGTACTGTATCAGGGAGTGGCCTTGAAGATATGGTCAGGGAGCTTTATTAAGAGATTAGGAACTAACTACATTGAGGGCTGCATTTTCTTACCTTGTTCACAGTTTTTAAATTATAATCCAGGATAAAGCAGGATTCTGGTGGCAGGTTAAATTGAGTGGTAAGCTTGAATACAGGCAGTCCCCGGGTTACATGGATCCGACTTACATCGGATCCCTACTTACAAACGGGGTGAGGCAGCCCCGCACTAGCTGCTTCCCCCCAGCAGACCAGGGAGACGCGGAGCGGCTTTTCTCAGCAGACACCTCAGCTTGAGAATAAAGGATTGTGGGAAGTGAGGTTTGGGAGAATAAAACTGAGCTCTGGAGAAATGTTTGGCTAGAGTTTCCCCTACAATATGTACCAGTTCCGACTTGCATACAAATTCAACTTAAGAACAAACCTACAGTCCCTATCTTGTACGTAACCCGGGGACTGCCAATCAAACAGTTTCTGACATGAACTTTTTGTTACTGTGGCACCCACTAGCGAATGCTAAAAGGGCAGAAAAATAAGTTAGGGAAGCACATTGAAGATGAATATTCAGATAAATTGAAGTTTAAAGAATACACATAGTGTCCTTTTTGTTTTTGAAATAGGAGACGACTGAGAAACCTGCTAGGCGGGAAAATCCCCATAAGTACTTGCTGTATAAACCTACCTTTAGCCAGCTGTACACGTTCCTAGCAGCAGCATTTAAGGTTTGTAAAATGGGGTATATTTGTCAGTTGATTAAATCTCTGGGATGGTACACTTTGCTAAATAAAAGTAGACGAGTTTCCTTTCTGTTTTGCCTGAAAACCAAGGATTCAGTAACCCTTTTCAATTGTAAATGACAAAACACTTGATCTTCTTTCTCTTCATAGCTTGGAGATTTAAATGACTTATCAGTTTGTCTTAGTGACACATTTATCTGATTTAAACATACAAGTATCTTTACTAAGAATTCTACAAAGGTACAGTGGCTAAATTCATTTCCAGTTAATATAGTCGTGCGGCCCAGTGTATTTTGTTTGTACTTGTACTATCAGCAACGTGGGATTTAGTTGCCAAAAATAACTTGTTTCCTTTTGGAGAAAGCAGTGTCACAGCTTAAGAGCCTAAAAACTTCCTGGCTGTGTTTGGTGTTGTGCATGCCTACCTGCTCAGTCTCCTCCCCCAGAAAGCAGAGGTCTGTGGTATGTCAGTGCCCACAGGGGGGAGTGAATGGAAAGGTGGCACATGGATGCATATGATTTTTTGGGGGGAGGGTCTGGGAGCAAGGACCTCATTCAGAATTCTGGGATAGCTAGAGAGTCTGTTCTGCCAAAAGGGGCCTTAGCTTAACTCTTAGATTCCACGTTCTAGGAAGTCTGTCTCTCACTAGATATTAGTGAAGTGGGGACTTGGGAGGGGGAGGGGGGCAGGGGAACTGTGCTTTTACAATCTATGGACCTGGTGTATCAATTACATATCTAACGAGCTACAGCTGAGCACCTCTACAGCATGCATTACTCTGTCCACCCAGTGGATCACTCGATTGCCTGTTCTGTTCATTCCCTCTGAAGCATCTGGCATTGGCCACTGTCTGAGGACAGGACACTGGGCTAGATGGACCTTGGTCTGACCCAGTTTGGCTGTTCTTATGTCCTTATCCAAAACACCCACTGAAGGAAGTGTCAATTTCAGCAATATAGATGTATGCAAAGGAGCCACATAAAACTGAAGAGCAGTCGGGGGTGAGGGTTGCACCTATAAATGCCAGTGGTTCCATCAGGCTAATACAGAATGTACATAGCCTGTTTCAGTAAATGGCTGCATTTTCCTCCTGCCTTTTTTCTGTGCTTGAATTGCAGGAGCTGCCTGCAAACAGTGTGCTGCTGATCTACTTGTCGGCCACTGGCGTGTTTCCCTCAGGTCGTTCGGATAGTGAAGGTACAATAAAGGAATGCTCCCTGTCATGAGCAGGGCTTGAATTTGCTTTGTATTTCAGAGATCTTGCAAACCTCCTTTTTAAAGGACAAGTCCAATTTCATATGCCCATCTACCTACCAAGACTGGCTTTCTCTTGGACTCCCAGCAGCTAATTCTATGTGTTCAGCACACAATAATCTACTGACTTGAAATCTTTTCAAAGGACATGAAAAAGTTTGATACATGTGAAAAATTAAAAATGTTACAAGTTTGAAGACACATGGCTCAATAGGTCCATCAGTGAAGAATCACCATAATAAAATGGTTCAGTAACATCTGGCATTTCTTCCCAGTCTGAAGTGTCAAAATAGAGGATCAGGAGATTGGGGGCAAAAGGGCTGAAGGTCTCTCTGCAGAGATTGTTGTACGTTGGTTGATGTGACAATTCAAGCCCCTGTCATGATTTTAATAATTCCCCTCACCTCATCTTCCCGTTACCCAACCAGCAGAATATTGGGATGCAGATACAGTCTAAACATCTAAAACTAGCAAACTAGTGCAAATGCAGCTAAAAGATTTTTACGTTTGTCTAATTTACTTTTAAGAGAGATTATTTGAAACATCCTAAATATTGTATGTACTTCATCTGTTTAAGACTGGCATTCCTTTATAAGATGCATGCTTGTTCCATCCTCCTTGCATGATTTGTGGATCTTGGAAAATGCTAAAAGGAAAAAAAATCCCTGCAAACTTTCTGTTTGGCAGTGATTTTTTTTTAAAAAAATTGCTTTTATCATTTTAATGTAATGCAACCCATTGTATTTGGTCTTAACTGTATTGTGCCCTTCATAACCAGCATTGTGTCCCACCTCACTGCATGCCTTGTTCTTACTTACTACTTTACTGTAGAAGTACCCAGTCTTTGTCCTGTGGAGAGCTTCACAGCCAACTTTTCAAATCCCAACGGGCTCACACGAATCCGATTACAGTCACAGTTCTGGGTGTATGTGTTTTTTAAATAGGAAAGTGTGACCTGCAAAAAAAATACAGAGCACTGCATGCTGGGATAGAAGAGGGAAGCTGTAGGCTGAAATGTTACATTATACAGACCAGTTTTGGCTGACACATCACACGTCAGCAACCTGTGACAGCACTACCTGAGAGTTTGCTCTTTTCCTGACATCCTAAAGCTTCCCATAGAAGTGAAAAGTAATTCCTTGAGGGGAAGGGTTTATAGGTATAGACAGGGAAGGACTATCTGCAAATGAAGCACCAGAGTTGAAATCCAACTTTGCAGAATTTGCAAGTCTCCGTATAGATGCAATTCTCCCATTAATACTAGAGGAGTTTCATTACTCCCACTAAACTGGGAAATAGACTCTTGTCTATACGAGCACACTTTTGCAGAGGCTGTGGAGATAGCTGTTTTTTAAATTTCGTCACTATCCACCGATCAGTTAGGCAGCCAGCCCAGATTCTGTCCCCAGTGAGTGGAATAATCACTAACCCTGCATTAGGACCAGACAAAGTGCAGCATAGCTTTGTAAATTGTATAAACTTGTATTAGAATTTCATAAACAACAGAATTCCAAAGACTTAGCCATTGCTTTGGATCTGAAACATGGCTGATAATATTGGATTGCTGCTAGGTTTAAAAACCAACTTTTCTACAACCTATGAGCTTTGTTTCCAATGCTCTGATGGCTGCAAAGGCTGGAAAAGTTCAGGTTTGGAATTGATTCTTAACTCATTAGAAGGCCCGATTCTAATTCTAGAACGTATTGATTCAAGTAGTATTTAAAATGTGTATTGATTGTCCTGTAAGAAATACATGTAAGATTCTTTTCCCATCCCTGGAGATGTCTGTTGACCTAGCTGTGTGGTTTTTTTTACTACATAGCCTTGTGGGTTATAGTATGTCTCTTGCTTTTCATTTCTGTTGTTTTGAAGAATAAATGGATAAGATAGAGGTTACTGAGCATGTTGTATTCCCAAACATGAGATGAGTCACTAAAATTACCAAAAACCATACTTTAGAATTTACTAGCCATGCATCTTAAACTCTTCCTAATTATCCTTTGTCCCATCTTTAGTTCAGATTCATGATTTTTTTTTTTTTTTTTTGGTCCTATACCTCCAAACACTTAGTCCAAATTGTGGTGTGACAGTTAATCTCTGCTCTTTTTTTACTTTTGTAGGTCCATATGATTTTGGTGGTGTCCTTACAAATAGTAACCGGGACATTATAAATGGCGATGCTATTCACAAGCGTAACCAATCTTACAAGGAGATGCACTGGTGAGTTTCATGGGCTCAGCAAGGGGAAGTAAGTAGAAAGTGAGTTTTTCTTCTCCGTAAAGATGCACTGCTTCTGATTACCTTTTCTGAAAGGGAAAAAAAGTGCGTGGATCAAATGCATAAGTTACAGAACTTCAGAGATGGATCAAGTTTCCTGTTTGAAGAATTAGCCATGAGAGGGCAAGAGAATGGGATCAGCCTGACTGTGATGCTTACCTTCTTTTGAGCTATATTTACTGCCCATTGTGACTAGAAACAACACTAGGATATAGGGGCAAAATTAGAAAGGCCAAGACACAAAATGAGCTCAATTTACCTAGAAACATAAAAGGTAATAAGAAAACATTCTAAAAACATATTGGAAGCAAGAGGAAGACCAAGGATAGGGTAGGCCCAGAGCTCAATGAAGACGGAAAAACAAAACCAGAAAATGTGGAAATGGCAGAGGATCTGAAAGACAACTTTGTGTCTTTTTTTTCACCAATAAAGTTAGTGGTGATAGGCTGCCTACCATAGTGAATGCTGGAGAAAAGGAGGTAGGTTCAAAAGTTAAAATAGGAAAAGAACAAGTTAAATTACTTAGAAAAGTTAGATGTCTTTAAGTCACCAGGGCCTGATGAAGTGCCTCCTAGAATACTTCAGGAGCTGATTGAAGAGGCATCTGAGCCATTATGTGTCATCTTTGAAAAGTCATGGAAAATGGGAGAGTTTCCACAAGACTAAGGGCAAATACAGCACCCATCTATATAAAAAGGGAAATAAGGACAATCCAGGAAACTACAGTCCAGTCAGCTTCACTTCAGTGTCAGGAAACATAATGGAGCAAATATCTGAGGAATCCATTTTCAAATATCTGGAAGATGGTAAAGTGATAAGTAACAGCATTTGTAAAGAACAGGCTATTGGCTTTCTTTGACAGGATAACAAGCCTTGTGGATAAGGGGAAATGCTGGATGTGGGATACCTAGACTTTAGTAAGGCATTTGATATAGTCTCTCATGGCCTTCTTATAAATAAACTAGCAAATTAGCTTGTCGTAAGATGGGATTTCAGGTCTCTCCTCCACGTCGGTCTCCTCTCCTGAGCCTCTGTTCTCTTGCTCCCCGTGTGTGTCTCTCTCTCTCCTCCTCCTCCTGCCTCCCCCCCCTCTCTCAGCTCTCCTCCCCCTCCTGCCTCTCACTCGGGGGACCACGGAGCCCAAACGGCCCGTGCTGCATGGGGAGTGTGGAGCCCAAACAGTTGCTTGTGGCACTTGCTCCCATGCGGAGGCCCGGCTGAGCAGTGCAGAAGTCAGCTGAGCGCCACAGCAGGAGGTGAAGGGGGGAGGGGCGGTGACATTCACGGTCAGGGGGCGGGGCCTGGAGCCGCTGTCACACTGCACGTCACCACCCCACCCCCTTCACCTCCTGCTGTGGTGCTCGTCTGACTTCTGCGCTGCTCAGCTGGGCCGCCACGGGGGAGCAAGCGGCTGTTTGGGCTCCCCCTGCCATGGCGAGAGACAAAGCACGTGACTCGGGCAACAGCGCCGCCCAGAGGCAACAGCGCCTCCCAGAGGCAACAGCCAGCATTTCAGCGTTAGTCACTGACATTGGGCTACTATATATATGCTTAGGGAAATACAACATAGATGGGACTACTATAAGGTGGGTGCATAACTAGATGGGTAAGCATTCCCAGAGTGGTTCACAGACATGCTGGAAGGGCATAATGAGTGAGGTTCCACAGGGATCAATTTTGGGACAGATTCAGTTCAGTATCTTAATCAAGTGAGAAGTGACTGTCTAGGAAGGAGTACTGCAATAAGGGATGTAGGGGTCAGAGTGGACTACAAGCTAAATATGAATCAACAGTGGGACACTGTTGTTAAAAACAAACCTCATTTTGGGCTGCATTAACAGGAGACACAAGAAGTCATTCCTCTGCGCTCTTCTGCGCTTATTAGGCATTAACTGGAGCATTGTGCCCAGTTCTGGGCACCACATTTCAGGAAAGATGTGGACAAATTGGAGAAGATCGAGAGAAAAGCGACAAAAATGATGAAAGTTCTAGAAATCTTGACCTATGAGGGAAGACTGAGAGAATTGGGCTTGTTTAGTTTGGAAAAGAGAACAAGAGGGGACATGACAGCAGCTTGCAAGTACCTTAGCGGTTGTTACAAGGAGTGAGAAAAATTATTGTCTTTAATACCTGATAGGACAAGAAGCAATGGGTTTAAATTGCTGCAAGGGAGGTTTAGGTTGAACATTAGGAAAAACTTCCTGTCCGGGTAGCTAAGCAATGGAATAAATTGCCTAGGGAGCTTGTGGGAATCTCCATCACTGGAGATCTAGAAGAGCAGGTTAGACAGACACCTGTCAGATCTAGCTCAGGGTTGGACAAAATGTGGCCCACAGGCCAATTCTGCCCACCAAGCCATCTGATTTAGTCCACAGGAGCCTTCACCATGTTCCTTGTCTACCCTGCACCTTCACTGTGCTCAGAACAGCTTGTTGAAGGCTGCAAGGGAGGAGAGGCTTCACACACTGCCCCCGCCCTCAGCAAAATGTTGCAGCTCCAATTGGCCAGTTACCAGCCAATAGGAGTTACCCTTAACCCCTCTGGGCTTGCAGTGTTGAGAGCCACACATGGCCCCTGCAGCCAGTGCTGGGACGTGGAAGGCAGGGACCCTGGCTGGGGATGTGCTTAGCTGCTGGCCAGGAGCTAGCCACGTAACCTCATCCTGGCTACAGCCTGCCTCTGGCACCCCAACCCCTCCCTCCCCCTGATCTTCTGCACCCCTACTTCATGTAACTCAGACCCTCTGCATTCCTGTTCCTGCACCCATCCCCCTTCCCAGACCTTACACCCCAGTCTCCTGCCCCCGGTTACAACCCCCTCCTTCACCCAAATTCTTTCCAGATCCCACACCCTCTCCTGCATCCCAATCTCTTACCCCAAGCTCCCTTCTGCACCAACCCTCCATCCCAGTCCCTGCTCGCCATTTAATATCATGGAAGAGGGCGACCCTTAACTACTTTCCAATTCTTGGAGTGTCCACCCCTAGTCTAGATGGTGCTTCATCCTGCCATGAGGGCAGGGAACTGGACTTTTGTCGGCCTCTCGAGGTCCCTTCCAGTTCTAGTGTTCTGTGATTCTATGGTCATCTCCACCTGCATCCAAATGATGCTGCAGCCTTGTCTGCACTTGAAAAGTTTTGCTGGTGTAGCTGACCTGCAAACCCTACTAGTGTAGATCATAAAAGTGCTTCTGCCAATGTAGCTAATGTAGTTCCCTGCTCAAAGCAGCTATGTTAGTGCTCGTACTGACATAGCTATATTGATTTTTTTTTAACAGCCCCCTAATATAAATGTGCTGGTTAAGTTTCAGTGTTTGCTGAATCCTTGATCTAAACATTGATGTAAGACTCTTGTAGACCAGGCCTAATACAATTGGAAGGTAAAACTCAATACAGCAAGATGGTTCACATGACACACACAGACCGAGGAGAAATTAATAAGACTGGGACTTTTCAGCAGTTATGTATTGTGAATGGTGTACTGGGTATGAACGCTTCCGAGGTATTTTCCCGAAAGGCTAGGAAAGCTTATGTTGTCTTCTACTCAACAATCCTGGACACCTGCTCTATTGTCCAGCTGCTTCTAATGTTTTATATCCATTATTTAAATCCTCTCCGATTTGGGGCTAATACTCTATACCAGTGACTGCAGAAAATCTTCTGCTCAAATATTGTTTTACTTTCCTATAAAGTGAGCTGCAACTATCAGTGGGGGGCTTTTTTGTTCCCTCCTATTAGTCTCCCTTTGATGTGGGCAGCTAAGGAGAAACCTCCTCACTCAGAGCAGGACAGCGTGGTCCCTGTAGCAGCGTCGTAGGATTTGGGGCTAATACTCTATACCAGTGACTGCAGAAAATCTTCTGCTCAAATATTGTTTTACTTTCCTATAAAGTGAGCTGCAACTATCAGTGGGGGGCTTTTTTGTTCCCTCCTATTAGTCTCCCTTTGATGTGGGCAGCTAAGGAGAAACCTCCTCACTCAGAGCAGGACAGCGTGGTCCCTGTAGCAGCGTCGTAGTTGTTTTTTTTCCTTTTTTTTAGCCTTCACCCTGGTGATCTCTACCCTTTCACAAGAAAGCCCCTGTTTATCATTGTGGACTCCTCAAACAGCGTTGCCTATAAGGTAAGGGGTTTGAAAGCAAATGCGTGTTCTGGAGTATGGTGCCAACCCCCAGCTACTCTACTACTTTCATTGCTTCTCTTTTTAAACACGCAGTATTGAGTCTTTTTTGTTGAGGCTGTGCATGCGGGGCAGGATCTGGGCTTAAACTGCAGGGAGGGAGGGTTAGGTTGGACATTGGGAAATACTTCCTACCTGTCCGGGTGGTGAAACACTGGAATAAGTTGCCTAGGGAGGTTGTGGAATCTCCATCTCTGGAGATATTTTAGGAGCACGTTGGACAGACACCTGTCAGGGACAACCTTAGATGGTTCTTAGTCCAGTTGTGAGCACAAGGGACTGGACTTGATGATCTCTCAAGGTCCTTCCAATTCTAGTGTTTTATGATCCTTTGAATAGAAGCATGTTTAGCAATACATGAATGGCTGTCATTAGAAAGTAATAAGTCTTCCTAGAGGAAAAGAAAAGTTCAAGATTTCCAAGATCTCTGTGGGGAGGCTTACTTTGATTCTATATTAAATATGATTGCTTTTTTGGTGGGGCTCATTTAATGTGCTTTTCTGCTCCAAATAACTAAGTATCCTACTCAGAGCTATTTTAAATGGCAGAAAAGTGTTAATGCGTGGAGTTTTGCCTTGTAAATAGGTGTGTTCATGTATCTGAATCTCTGAATGAGGGAAAAAATGAGAAATTAAAACACAAATGTGCTACAAAAATTAGCTATACATTCTGCGTCTCCTATAATATGTGCTAGAGATATGACACACTCCTCTGACTGAATGCGGTAGACACTATAGGACTACTCAGTGCCAAATCATTATTAGGAATCTGCAGTTCAGATAATGTGAAAGCAAGAGAGATTAATTCCAGAGGCACCACTCACCTCTGGATGACATTAATTCATTAGTGACTGTAACATTCAGAAACCTGCTGGGTATGCAAAGCTGTCACTTCCTGATGCCTTTCTCTTAAACTCCGCTTAGGTGGAGTTAGACAAATGGTTCTGTGCAGCTGTGTTTCCAAGGCGCATTAAGGACGTCTAGTGGCTGCATATTCCTGTTCTGTCCAGCGTCCATTGTCTGCCTGTTTCCCCTGTTTAGAGAGGGATGTTGGGTAACAAGAGTTTTACTCTCAAACACTCATGACTCTAGACATTTGTTAGTCTCTAAGGTGCCAAAGGACCACTCGTTGTTCTTAAAGTTACAGACTAACACAGCTCCCCCTCTGAGACATCTTACTATGAATATAGTTTTGTCATGCTCCTGTGCTTACCCCATTTACAGAAAGGGGATAAATGATTTGACCACAGTCACGGGGAAATCTGTGAAAGATGAAAATAAAGCGAGATCTCTTGATTTTCATTTCACTTTAACTGCAAGACCGTTCTTCCTCCATTCCTAGGGTAGCTGCTGAAAAAACCTCCGGGTCTGGTATGGCAGAGGCAGGACTGAGGAACCTCAGTACACATGCAACTCTGGACATGCATGTTCCCTGCAGGGGGAGTCTTGGGGAGGTCGTGGATTCCTGCATTTGGGCTTGCATCTCTTACTTGAGTCTTAAACAATATTTTTGGAAGAAATCTGCTTTGTAAATGCTAAACCGGAATAACTGAGCCCTGTCCAAATGGAGACCTGCAGAATTTCTGTGTGGCAAATAAGATAAACACCCATCTCCGCCTAGTTCTGTTCCTCATTGTGCTCTGTGCTGGATCAGGGAGCCAAACCTCTAACTTGAATGCAGCACGTTGGTTGTTATGCAAGCTCGTGAACCAGCCAGCAGCAGCAGAGAGAAAGGAGAGACCTCTACTCCCAGATAGTGTGCAAGGGGAAGGCGCCACTCGGATGTTCCTTGGAATTGCGTTTGGAGTTAGGAACTTGTTGGCCATTGGTGATTAGATGCACTCCTTTTTTTGGGACTCTCTAAAGCGAACTCAGGAAAGTTATGGTGAGTGTTTGAAATAGTTTTGTAAACAGTGTTAAGGGCCTGCTGTCTGGCCTGCAGGAAATCTGTCCCCATTCAAGTAGCAGTGCATACTTCTCAATGAGAGGCAAATAGTGGTGTGCCTAGCTCTGGTGGTGGTTTCCAGCCTCCAGTAAATGCAAGTCCCATGTCATGGGTACTTAGTGACCTGCAGTAAGAATACGTAACTAGTGCTGTTTGCAAATGTCCCTGGGTGAGTTGTGAGTGGAGACGAAATGCTTTGTGGGCAGAGCATGTCCATGCAGACAAAGTTCCTGCATGAAACATCCGAGCCAGAGAAGTGACTTCTTCCCATGCTGCTGCTCAGATCCTTTCCGAGAGAACAGGAGCTGGTGTGACATGTCTGTAGCACTGCTCAGCAGTATTGACAGGAACATGAATTGCTCAGAGGCCTTCTCCAAAAAGCTGCTTTCTGCTCTTGTGCACGCTCTCCTTCCTTCTCTGGAAGAGTTTAAAGCGATGACAGGGAGGAACGCCTGCCCTCAGTGATGTAGCGCTCTTAGAGATGGCTGTTAAAGTTGGACTTCGTACCTCTGTGAAATACCCTGCTGGGCTGGTCCTCTGAGACGTTGTCCCTTGTTGCTTAGCCAGCAGGGGTTCTCTTTAAGAAGGGTGTTAGCTAGGGATGTTAAAACGTGTTGAGGTAAACACACTTATAGTGGGGAGGAGGAGCAGGCAGGAGTTGACCCTTTGCCTATGACGTCGTCTCAAGTCTGAGAATCGGGGAGGGGGGATTGTAGTCCCCCTCCCAATTTTTGTCAGTGTGCTGGCCCTGCTCAGTCAGTGCTGCATCTCTGCCTGGCAGCCGTTGAAGCTGGAAGCTGTAGCTGTGGGGAAAGAAACAGCAGGGAACTGCAGGGAGCTTTGGAGGTTTTGCTGCTGCCTCTCAGGCACCCTGCATATCCTCAGCAGCTCCTCTCTGCAGCTTCAGGTTTTGGCTGCTGCCTCCATGAGGCGCTAACACGTGGGAGATGCAGGGAGGGGCCGCTAAGAATATGGGGGTTGTGCTCACGGGGAGGAGGTGGGGGGGGGGGCAAATCTTTACATTGTGGGCCCCCCCCCACTCTGTAGGTGTCAGTCATCTCTAGCAGGAGCTCCTGACCCCACCACCTGGCCACAGGACAGAATCCCAGAGCTGGTAGGTGAGGAATGCGGGCTGGGACATGATGGGGGAGAGGAAAGGGGGCTTGTCTGTAAGCTGCACTTCAGTTGTAAGAAAGCCATAGTGGCTTGCAAGCCAGTTTGAACATAAGAATGGCCAAACTGGGTCAGACCAATGGTTCATCTAGTCCAATATCCTGTCTGCCCTCAGTGGCCAATGCCAGACGCCCCAGAGGAAAGGAACACAACCGGTAATCCTCACGTGATCCCTCCTATCACCCATTTCCAGACAAACAGAGGCTAGGGACACCATTCCTAAGCATCCTGGCTAATAGTCATTGATGGACCTAACCTCCATAAATCTATCTTTATATAAATCTGTTAAAATCCTAGTCTTCACCACATCCTCTGGCAAGGAGTTCCACAGGTTAACTGTGCACTGAGTGAAGAAAAATCTCCTTTTTGCTTGTTTTAAACCTGCTGCCTATTAATTTCATTCGGTAACCCATAGTTCTTATATTGTGGGTATAAGTAAATAACTTTTCCTTATTCACTTTGTCCACACCAGTCATGATTTTATAGACCTCTATCATATTCTCTCTGCTCCACCCCCCCCACCCCACTTATTCCCCTCTTTGGCCACCCCTGCTGTATAGTTCAATATGATCCATTGCTTTTTGGTTTTGTCATCTGCATTGTACTGAAGTGGCACTGTTTCATTAGCCGGAATGTGTGTGCTGGTGTCATACAGACATCCAGGTGTCCCATTTGGCACCGCAACTCTTCAGTTTCAGAAAGCTTGTTAGCTAGAAAAGAACAACTCCGTTTAGTAACTAAACTAGAGAAATATTTCATGACCTGTTTTTCTATAAGAAATAGGTTCTAGAACAGAAGATGCGTTCCCTGTGTGTGTGTGTGTGTGTGTGTGTGTGTGTGTGTGTCAGTGTAGAACAGTGGTTCCCAATCTGGGGTCCACGGACCTCTGGGGGGTCTGTGAGGGTATTGCAGAGGGTCCATGAAAAAATAAAATATAAATAAAAATGATCATAGAAAATAATTTTAAAATACATTGCAAAGTTATAATCAATTATTATTTTTAAATTAAATATCTACCAATAATGTTATTAATTGCGGTCCGAAAATCTATGTTGTGGCACCTTCGTGTGATGAAACGATCGTGACAGTTAGAAGTGTACAAACATGAGCCATACATTCAGCATGGATCTGGCTGAAATCAGGCTTGCTGAAGAGAAAGGACACTGATGAGCAGAGTGAAGCATCCACAAGTGGAATGTTTAATCAAACAGACATAAGTCAACGAAAAGTGAGAAAATACTCGGCTGACTACTAGAATTGTGGCTAGAATTGCCTTTGGGGGGGTCTGCAAACATTTTGGGGGGGTGATTGGGGGTCTGTACTAGTGAAAAGGTTGGAAACCGCTAGTGTAGAACAATGCAGTGCTCTGAACTGTGGATTAATTCTTGTAAAATACAGTATTTTTATTAACCCAAAACAGTGTGTTTGCATAGCAGCTACTTAAAGGTTCACGCTTTTTTTTTTTTTTTTTTGTTTAAGTGGAGCCAATTTTAACGTTCATTATACCCGTGGTTCCCTTTCTCTGGCGGGAACAGTCCGCCTGCTAGGAAAAAGCAATATTTTTACCTGCGTTGGACAGCCAAACTAATGTCAAGGGAAGTAATTGAAAATACTAATCCGAGTTGGTCTTTGGCCTGAAAAGAGATTTGTTCTCTGGAGTACAGAATATATTTTCAAAGTAAGTCCATTATTGTAATGGCTTACTCTCTAAAAGCAATTTGCCTCTGAAACTAGCACCTACTTGGTTGCTCATTCCCCTCTTTAGTTCTATGTATTAAACATATATTGAGGTTCCAGTCAACAAGACAAAATAACAATTGATGTTTTAACTGTTCTGTTACAGAATTTCACAAACTTGTTTGGACAGCCACTGGTGTGCTTGCTTTCTCCAACAGCGTATCCAAAAGCATTACAAGGTACGAAGGTGTTGCCTTTCCTGGCAGCTTCACTTGTATTACATGATATTGTCTTGCAATTTTTAATGTACCATTTATCCACGTCCAAAATGATCGTTTCTGGTGCACTCTCTTCACTTGATGATGGCCCCAGTGGGGGCGAGCAGTGCTTGAAGCGGCATAGTCGTTGACAGTTCATGGCGAATGACTTTTAACATGACACGTTTTGACTGGAGTCGGTCCAGGCAGCTTCACCAAGGGTCAGAGAGGAAACTTTCTTTGCAGATGTAGAGCCCAGGAAAGTCACCATCAAGTGCAGGGGTCATAATTCACTTGTTCTATTCTTACCATTTGAGGGAAGCTTCACTACAAAGGGGAAGTCACTAAGATAACGTTTCCCACTCTGTTCTAGGAGCAGTTCTTAATACCCAGTCTGCAGCATCTCTGGTACAAGGTGCAGGTTTTGGGGGTTTCTTAAGGCAAACAATTAGTGCATCTCCTGGGACAATGGATTTCCAATATGGGCAAGTCTTAGACCAGAATATTTCTGGCAATTCCTATGTTAAAGGTGACCACGGTCAGATTCCCATCTGCCTTTCCATTAGAACAGACTCCCCAGTGTGGCCTGTGCTGTGATCAGGGATTCTTCTCGTCAGAGCTTAATAGAACCACTGCAGCCATTAATTTAGGTAGCAAAATAAATATTTGCTAAATAAGAATAGATGCGTATTAACTTTCCAATACCTATAACTGAATGGTTCTGGTGTGTTGTGAGGGCTGCCAATTTTACTGCTACTTCCCAGCATGAAGCCCAGGCTGCTGACATAGTTTGAGACACAGGAAGTGGTGCTCAGCAAATGAATGCATGAGAGAAGCTGGAGACTTCACAATTGCTTTAAGGTAAGTTCTATTATTTGCTAGAAACTTTTGAGTAGAAAATATTAAACCTTGTTCAAATGAAAGCTGTCAACAAAAATAAATTCATTAAATAATAGAACTTACCTTTTAAAATAGCGAATGTCTCCAGTGGTTTTCCTGGTAGTGTTAGTAAAGCACCAGTAAATACCTCTTGTAACTCTGAGACACTGACCAGTCCCCGCAGTAAAAGACTTCTCTTCTTTCTTGTCTTGCGCTGTCCGAGACAGGAGCACTCCCAAGGAAAGGACCAGGTTTCTGGAGAGTAACTGCAATCAAAGGCAGGGGCGTTAGGTCGTTTTGGGTGGGGGACCGTATATATACAGATTTGGTAATGCTAATAAACTGTACAAGAAAGAAATGTTCTAGGGTCCCTTTATGACCACCTTATACCCACAACTTACATTGTAAGATTGACACTAATGGTGTTTAAAACCGAGCACTGAGCGGGAAAGAATTAAACCTCCCACAAGTATGTGGCATCTCCTGTGCTCCTAGCATGCACAGAACTCTCATGAACTTTGAGTGGAATTGAGGCCTGCTATCCTGGTGACACGCTCCCTAGCCACAAAGCCTGGGAAGAGCTTTCCACGAACGCTGCATGCTGCTGCCTCGGTCAGCCGGGAATGGAGGGGCACAGGGCTCTGCCCTGTGGTGGGGACAGCTCTTCTGTTTCACATGCTGAATGCATCATGTTGTTGTTTATTGGCTTTTAGATCAGTCTCAGCGGGGTAGCCTCTTCACCCTCTTTCTGAACAATCCTTTAATGGCATTCCTATTTGTCTCTGGATTATCAAGCATGCGCAGAGGATTGTGGGAGAAGTGTCAAGATTACCTTAGAAAAATCAACCGGGATATCGCCCAGCTGCTGACCCATTCTCGCTCCATAGGTATGTCCTTAAAGACCTGCACACTCTCTGCAGCAACTTAGTGGTACAACTAGAGTTGGGTTTCTTACCTGCTTTTTATTGCTCAGCCTGGCCAAAGAATAATATTGTTTGTGCAGAAAATGCACAATTGTTCCATCTGGTGTTTTCCCAAAGGTCTTCTGCCTCAAAAATGCCTTTCTAAATTCAGTTTTCGTGAAGTGTCACCTTCTTCCTCTGCAGATCAGGCCTTTCTTCAGTTTTTTGGGGATGAATTTCTTCGCTTACTTCTAACAAGATTCATCTTCTGCTCAGCCACCATGAGGATGCACAAAATTTTCCGGGTATGCAGGGAAAACCTTTCCCTTTCTGAGAGAGCGTTACCAGACAAATTCTGTTTTTACGTAGAATTGCCTGGGCTGGAGGATAAAGGGCTCTTCTGTCTAGTTTCTGTGACTCTTCTGCTCCTGGGCTTCACTAATACTGCTCACGTGGACTCCTCACATGCTGAAATTAGTATTCATGAATGTATGTGTGAACCACATAGTGGATAATGTTAGCCATGCTTACACGTGAAAAGGCCTTTTGCATACAAATGCTCATAACCAGTTTTACAGTATATTGCATCTGTATTCTGATTCCATGTAGAACACAGAACAATTTATCTGCACTGGGACACATCCCACCAGTTCTGAAATACACATTCTAGTACTGAGCAGGTGCATAGTGCATGCTCATGTAGAGAGCCCTGTAATTGTGCACAGCCATGTACACCAAGAGCACTGTGTCAAAAATATAGCACCAGTCTGGAAAGGTTGCAAATGAGAGCAGTGGGTGGGCTGCAGGATCGGGATGCATCACAGAATTCATGACTTCCCAAGTGGAGTGGGTGGGTGGATGGTTTTCTTTTTGGGGCGAATGAGGGCGCCACACAAGAAAAGATGCGGACAAGCTGGAGAGGGTCCAGCAAAAATCCTGGTCCATAAGGACAGGTTAAAAAAAACTGGGCACATGTAGCCTTGAGAGAGGAGTGAGGGAAGGAAGCTGATAAGTCTTCAGATTCATGAAGGGCTGTTTAGGATGGTGATCAGTTATGCTCCATGTGCATTGAAGAACAAGTAATAGGAGATGTAGGTTAGGTATTAGGCAAAACTCCCTAACTATACGGGTAGCTAAGCTCAGAATAGGCTTCTGTATGGTCTAGGTTTACTGGGTCCTGTTTCACTGCAGGAGTTTGGACTTGAAGACATCTTGCAACGTCTTTTAGCCCTATACTTCTGTGATTGTTTCAACATAAGACTGCAGATAATTACAGGGGGAAGAAAGATTGTTCCTCTGGCAGGCATAAAGTCTGCCTCTAAGACTGTGTGCTACATCCTCTTTGAAGCATACTGTGCATGTTGGCACCCAGGTTTATGTTACCTGCTTGGTGCTTGAGCATTGCAGAAAAATATCATTAGCAGTGTAGACAGCACATGTATCAAATCTCCTTCTGTCTCGCGTTCATGTTCCATTTGTATTGTGTGTTCATTGAAACATGCCTGGCCACCCTGGGGTCATAAGGCTTGGCTACTGCCACAGTAACAGATAGATGCCTTGCTGCCGTAACTTGAAAACCAGGCCACTGCCTTTGCATCTAGGGAGAGAGCTGTGAAGATAAGTGTTGGTAATTTCTGCACGGACCTGGCCCGTCAAACAGCTCAGCATGGGTTTTTGTAATTAACTGGCCTTATATACTTTTAGTTCTGTACTAATGGATTATAAAAATAATTGTTTTCTTTTTTTTTTTTTCTTCATCTAGCAGGAAACTCGAAATTACCCTGAATCTTATCCCCAGCTTCCAAGAGATGAAACAGTGGAGAACCCTCACCTCCAAAAACACATTCTGGAGCTGGCTTCCATCCTGGATATTAGAAACGTGTTCCTGGAAAACACCATTGATGACTATTAAAAGAAACACTTGCGTAATGCAACTGGGTTTCCCTAGCCACAGACTTTGAATGGTGCAGTTTTCTAATGTGAAAATCCACAAAAGGAGTTACCTGATTTTATTTTAAAATTTAGGACCATTATTTTTTTAAAAAAAGAAACCGCTGTTAGCCCAGCTACCCCATTGTGTAGGGGTCAATTTTATAAACAAATCTTTTCACATCTTTTCAATGTTGAAGTTAGGAATTCCTGGGATTTTATTTTTGGTGTTGTGGTTAAAAGCGACCACATATCCAGCAATTGATCCTAAGCATAAAGTATTATTGGTCACTTTTAGCCCACTTTATGGAAATCCTTTATTTTTATACAGTTTTAAAAATTTGAAGCAAAAAATGCAAATATAGAAAACAATATTTTATCCCCAAAGAGTTTGGATTTGAAATGGTAAAGCTGGAAACACATAACGCAAACCGGCAAGAGCAATAAAAGAAAGAGCCCTTCATAAGAAATATATATTTTTCAATCTTAGGTGAATAGTTAAATTTGTGCTGGAACTAATAGCAGTGGGTTTGGAGTGATGCTGCAGAGGAATCTCCTGACATCTAGTGTTACGTGTAAATTAACCATTTGACTTCTACTGAGCAGCACAGCTGGCTGAGAACAGAAGCTCCACCCCCTTGGGTGTAACTTGCAGGCTGGTGGCATAATTACAACAGTAATCAAGCAGGCCCCATTTCCTCAGTGAGGTGTAGTCAGACCCACATTCCATGTCTTGTGTCAGAGCCACCACCCTTCTGCCTGAGGCTGGTCAGTCCATGGCTCCTTAATCACTGGGGAGGAGGGTGTCTCTGTTCTTACCTGGTTGAGTGAATGAAGTAAGTGGCTTCCACGGTGTTCCCAGCCTGTGGTGAGTCTGTGCCTAAGGATCCAATCAGTCTCTTGCAGTAGGACTGAGTTCTAGCCCTTCCCAACAGAGAAACACTTGGCAAGAAGCCTCTTGGGACTGCTGTCACCTGCTCTAACAATGGGATGATCTTCCATGGGCTCCTTGTGACCCTAGAAGAACTGCTGTTTTGTTCATGTGTGTGGTGAGGGCCCACCATGCCACCCCACTCCCCTACCTGTGTGCTCAGTCCTGTTCTTACAGCATTTTCCCAGTGAGCCACAGGAAAGCTGAGCAGAGGAAAGGGGTGTGAAGCACACAGTCCCCAACAAACCCCGAAACACAGCTAGTAGGGGTGGGTTATATGTATCACAGCTTCTGCACAATAATTTCACCCACACCTAGATATCATCCAGTAGGGCTCCGTAAAGTCTGCACCAAGGAACGTGTGCTCTGTATGAAATTGGAAGCTAAGGTAGGGGTGGTGCTTGCTGGAGAAGGAGGAAGGTAAAGCTGTCACGGCAGTGCCCCCTGGTGTCAAAACAAGCTCCGGGAAGATCTGGCACAGCCTGCTAGAAAGGTGTGGAGAGAAGAGGTGGACACACTGGAAGCGTAGAAGAATTTTGGCTTCTATGAAGCAAATGTTCTAAACCCCCAATTGAATAGCTTCTTGGCTCTCCAACTCTGAAACTGACTCCACTTCAGTTACTGGCAGTAAACAAGTCCGCTTAACCCAAAGCCCAGACTGAAGCACAACAAATGTTTGTAAGCTCCCATGTTTGGTTTTTAAAGATGTGTAAAATGAATAGTGGGTTTTTGTATAGAAAAAAGCTCATTTGCCAAGAAGGTGTTTGCTTTAAATCTGGGGAAAGGCAAGTGTGTGGTGATACGGATTGTAATTTTTGTATCTGAAATTGCACAATGGTTGTCAAATGGCCTGAAATGACAAATCTAGAAATAATGGTAGCAAAGCAAACTGTGATCAGCTTGTTTCTGTGTGAACGTAAGCTGTACGGTGCTGGAAAGACTGCCTTTTGGTTATGCATGGCTGTAGCGCTGTCTGAGGCTCCTGGTACCGAAATGCTGAAATGTCCAATAGCAACAAGGATGCCGTGCTAGACTCTGGTGTGTCCTTAGGGAATCTACTGTATGGTACCAAGGTGAAAGCCATTCTGTTCCGTGTGTGTTGTTTCAGTGTCGGAGAAGGGGCAGGAGTTTGAGTAGCCCTTTAATGTTGAGGTCTAGTCCAATGTTTGTTTTAAACACAAGTTTGGTTGCTTCCTTAGCATGGTGCCTGCTTCAGTGGGCCTCTTCACTGTGTGATTCTGTGATGTGACCATCTTCTTAAGACAGACTGGGATGAGAGTGCTACATGTCAGGATTAATGTCCATCAGCACTGCTGCGGGAGAGTCCCATGCAGAACAGCAGTAGATGGCACAGAGCAGGTGGGCAGGAGTGGAGCTTCCATAGCACTTGCTGGCACTGTGCTAGGCTCCAGCCAAAACTTTCACTCTGATGGGCACCAAAAATCAATGGAACTGGATAAGAAGGATTTCTTTGAGCAGATGTCCGGTTGGTGGTGGTGTTTTCTCCTGTGGTTCTTTGGTCACCCTTCTTTAGCTGAGATTGAATTGATTGTAAAGTAAATGTGTATATACTCAGTGTTTGTGTTTCATGTACAGTCACCACCCACCTGTTGGGTGTGCTTGTAAATAGGTATAGCTATATGTATATAGGGAGGTCTTGAGATGTGTATATACAAAAATTATATCTACACACCTGCGCCAGTTGGATTGCATTCCATGATGGTGTTCTAGAAGCATTATTTGAGATACTTAGTTAAGTTTGTGGCTGCATTACCACTGTAATCCTCTATTTTCAGGGGCTTATGTTGGGTAAATGAAACAATTTGGGGCTGAAACTAGGTGCAGGCCTCATCCAGGGAGCAGCTAGGGAGTTTTTTTTACAAATGTAAATATTCTAGTTCATGCTGAAATGCTAGTAATTTTCTGACCTGAATCAACAGAATCCAGGAAATGTGAAGTTTTGAAGCTGATTTGCCCTTTCCCGTGGGCATGAGGTCGCACTCACATAACAGAGTGTTTGCAGTGATGTTTAGTTTCTTTTGCCATAGCTTTCCTGGCATGTCCTTTGTATTCAGACACCCTGAGGAAGCCATGTAGGAATGTGGAAATCTCTGTAGTCGCAACACAGAGAGAGAGAAGGCGCTAGTACAGCATCCATGGTACTTTCCCGTCCTGCATGTCAACATTGAATAAGCTAGATGCTCAGCCCCAGATCACTGCACTGACTCTGATGAAATCCCAGGTTTAGCTTTGACTGTTGTGGTTCCATTTAACTTCCCTGCAGCTGGGAATAGCATGTGTGCATGAGCTTGGCAGCGGATTCTGTTAGCATGCCCGGTTTGTGTCCTGATGGACCCTGGTGGAACATGGTTTGAGAGCTGATGGGAAGCACTGATGCTTGACTTCTGCTCACACTGGAGGATGAATCGTCTCTGCTTACAATGTATTTATGTGACTTCTGTGTCTACAGCACCAAATGATGCATTTGGTCCTGCCTTCCCATTAGTGAAGTTTGCAGTAGGTCTAGTCAGGCAGGAACATGCAGAGAGAACTGGTAGGAGAGGTTGCTTAAGAATCTAGATAGATTGAGAACTTGATGATGGTTAAGTCATAACAAACATCCAACAGTTCTGCCTGAATCTAAAAAGTTCACCTCTGGCTTTTTAAAGGCATCTCTCATTCTCCTCTTGGTTATTCTATCATTTTTGGCTGGCTTTGTTCAGAATACCTGCCATTAATCAAACTTGGCAACAGGGCTTTTCAGAGTGAACTTCGCTTTCCATTTTAACAGTTTGTCCATTCACTGTAAATGGTGGATTCTCTGTAACTTGAACATGATTTGAGGATTTCAGTAACTCGGCCAGAGCATAGGGGTCTATTAGGCTATGTCTACACTGCAGCCTTTTGCTAGCAGAGACTATGCTAATGAAGCGCTGGTTAGCATCTGTTGTGCTGTCATTTGCGTATTCTCTGCCGATGCTTTTTGCGCAAGAGGTTTTTGTGCAAAAATAAGCAGCGTAGATGGGTCTGTTTTGTGCAAAAAAAACCTTTTGTGCAAGATCTGTAGACCTCTTTTTTTGAGGCATAAGGATCTTGCGCAAAGGGGGTTTGTGCAGAAAACAGACCCGTCTATACTGCTTGGTTTTGCGCAAAAACCTCTTGCGCAAAAAGCATCAGCAGAGAATAGGCAAATGACAGCACGACAGATGCTAACGAGCGCTTCGTTTGCATTGTCTTTGCCGACAAAAGGCTACAGTGTAGACATAGCCTAATAGACCCCTATGCTCTGGCCTAGTTCTTGAACATGATTTGAGGATGTAGCCTTACAGGAGAGGGTAGGTGAGGTTAACCTCATGTGTATACGAACTTATGGGCACATGGATATGGTTATGGCTACTTGTTTGTACATAACAGAAAAATGTTCCGTTAATTTCATGTTCAGAAATCCTCACTGCTAGGAAGTGAATTAGCAGTGAAAGGATGATTGAGCTGAGAGGATCACAGTAATGGGAGAGGCAGGGGAGAAGTATTGGATCCGACTGGGGGGAGCTGTTTCACTTGCAACAGTGGAGAGAACCTACTGTCCAAGTACAGGAGAGGTCATGTGAAGAGAGCAAGCTGAGCCTGTAATGGGGATGGGCGACCAGGAATGGTGGGAGGGCCATTCACCTCAGTAGGCCACAGCAGCCCACGGCCCACCGGGGTTCCAATTGTGGCACCGTGGTTCCCCTCTGCCCCCCCCCCCCCCATGTGCCTCTCATGCACCAGGACATGTGCTCTGAAAGTGCCAGGAGGGAGGAGGAGTATTTAAGTGCAGGGCTCTGTTGCCCTGATGTGAGAGACGCGGGGGGGCGCAAAGCAGCTGTGGGTCCATGGGCTGCAGGTGGCCTTTGGTGGGCTGCTCGTTGCCCACCACTGGCCTATAATATTTAGAGGAAAACATGCAAACTTGACTAAGTGCCAGTTTGGCAGATTTCTTCTGCCATGGCACCTCTGTAATAATGTTGTGGGTTTGGTGTAATTTCCTTCCTTTGGTGGCATCCCTCTTGCTTTGTATTTCTCTATCTGATCGTTAAAACATCTGGCTTTTACTACTGTTGCCTTTTCCTCTAGGTGTTTCAGATTGACAGGTAATAGGGCGGTGGAGCGTTTTATGAATTCAGTCATTTCTAAACCCTTTCCGTGTATAGAAAGGTGCCACCTCTTTGCTCTTGTGCATTAAGCTCTGACAAAAGATGAAGGTGCATTAGCAGCTTTTGTCCTCACGGATTTCAAATAATCATCAGCCAATACTGCAGAAGAAATAGCCACAAGGAAACCCTTTCAGAGAGAGAAAATGAAGACCATTCTCTCCTAAAATGCCAAGGAAGAAGTATACAGGATTTCAGGCTTCAGACAGGGACACTTCTGAATCTTTGGAAATCTTAAGTTTTAGCAGCTTTGTAAAAACTGACCCTGTGAAGATGGGCGGAGACACGACTACCTGCATATGAATCTACGGTTGCTCTTTGTACTGTGAGAAGCTCAGATTCCATACAATGTTGTGAATATTGGAGAGTGGAAAAGGCTTCATGCTGATGGATCAAGCTTGATTCCTTTTTCCTTTCATTAGCATCAGAACTTTATCCAGCCTTGCACCTAACCTTTGAACCCAGCTCCTTCCTGGGACTTAAAAACTCGTTTGTGACCTCTCCAAATAGTCCTTCTCTCCTAATGCTTTTCTTACATAAGCTTTGTCTGTACTAGACTTTCTCACCATAACAGCTCAGTAGTGGTAGTAGCAATGCTTTACCAGAAGCCTTAATATACAGCTGGCGGGACATGACAATGTGGCAATTAAAACATTACAAATGATCCATATTAGAGCTATTATACCAGCTGGCAGATTTGTACCAATAGGAACCATGGTAATCTTACGAGGGACGTTTAGTACAGATCCTGCTGTATGTATGGTCAGGATCCGTTTTCGAGGCTGCTGGTGAGGAGAACCGGAAGATCACCATAATGGGGGCCATTCAAGTCTCTTGCCATTGCATTTCGGACCCTTCATCTTAAAGACCCCATCTTGGTTTATAACTTCTTTTTTTTCTTTTTCTACCGTGGATGAAGAAAGCTAAGGCTTTCTGAATGATTGAGTGGTTTTTCAGGAGAATGAGTGAACGAATTTCCATTTCTTCTCAGTCTTTCTGCCAGTCAGCTGTTTCGGTAGGTGCATTGCTCTAAGATCCCAGCTTCACTTCTGCTTTTGAGACTTGAGCCACAGATTTCAAATACCACTTCCTTGTTCGGTTCAGATACTGGAACAATTTTCAGATCTTGGAGGTCATTCCTTTGCATGTAGGGCTAACAAAGCCTCTCATGCAAGCTGAAGCTGCAGAAATCCTGTTTTAAATTTTCTGTTCAGACTATGTTCCCCATTCTCTAATATTTGCTTACAAGAAGGAACCCCATGTACTATGCAGATGTCTTCGGGACTCTGTCACTACCACTTCTCAGTAGCAGCACTGAGCTACTTTGCCAGAGCATGACGTTGCTTAATGGGACTCTTTAAAAAGCACAAGATGCCACTACTTTGTCCCGTCCCTCCCTTAGGTTCGGCAAGTAATACAAGGGAAAGGGGGATGGAAATCCAGAATGAGGAACTTTACCTTGGGCAGCCCACCCACCCAAGAAATAGGAGCTTTCTGCCATTCTCTGGGAATCAGATTATTTATTGCTAAAAGTAATTTTGTATTGAATTGGTTCAAAATATTTTACAATCAGGTGCATGTATCATATTTTGGTAAAAAAAAAAATATTTTACTTGAATATAGAGAGCATTTTTTGGGAGCAAATTGACTTTTCTTGCAAGGTATCTAACTCACCAAAGCAATGTAATTCCAGAAAATATTCTGTTGTCTTTTGAGAAGAAAGGAATATATTATGACATATATATTAGATATTATGACAATGACCACTGGACATTTCAGGAAGAAGCTAGAGCTTGTAAAATGAAAGTGAGGATTGAAGTTACTTCATTTAAAAAAAATCAGTTTTCATTTTGATTTATTAGTAATTAGAATAAAATAACACCAAGGCCTGCTTTACTGCTTCTCTTATCAGTTCTAACCCACTTTCAGTGCAAATTTGTGAGCAGATCTTGTGCATGCTTTTGCTTGTCAGCTGGCCCTTGATGGTTTTCCAGATTTCTCTCTTGGTTTAGCTGTACAAAAACCTTAGTTTCTCATATTTGTTGTGAGTAGACACCTTTTAAGAGACTTGAGTCATGAGGGTAGGTTTGGATAATCTAGGTAGAAGGCATTTTTGAGCCTCCATAAAAAAATGCAACCAAAATGCCTCTCTCCCAACTCATTTAAGATGATCCACTCTAGTTTACATAATACAAGCCAAGCTTTTAATCAGGCAGCAGCAGCAATATTCTAGGGCAGGAAGAGAGATGAGTATGTAGATCACGATACAGTCAGACTCAATAATGCCATCTTAGCCAGATGGAGCCCCTACTACAATTCAAGTTAAGAAACATTTACTCTATGTATTAATAATGAATGCTGAAGTCCGCCATGTGTGGAATAAGTAGCTCTGCACTTGGTATCTGAGGCATTTTTTCCCATGCAGATAATTTATGTAATTTTTATAGCTTTGTATTGTTGTTAGAAAGTAACATGCTTGTTTTTAACGTATTATTTGAAGGTCATAACTTGCCGCCATGGTGGTATGAAAGGAATTTTAATAAACTGTGGCAAATGCTTATATGTAACTAAAATGTTGTTGAACTGTGATGCCATTTGTAGGGAATATACAGTTGTATTTCTAATAGGCGCTCTCTTAAGAGATGGAAGCACAAGAGTTTTACATGTACCTATTCTGTTCCAAGTGCTGCTAGTCTATAGTGCATGTGATGATGCTGTTGGGTAACAGACCTCTGTAATGGTTCACAAAGCCACTGTTTCCCTTTGTTACATAACCATGTCTTGTTGCCAGTTTGTCTGTCTGTCTATTATGACTTGAAGTTTAAACAAATAGTCCTGGTCTGACCAGTGTGGTGAGACCTTTCTGGTGCTGAGGGAATCTGAGGTCATTTTGGTTTTACAATGTTAGAAAGGACACTTTTCTGCAAAGTGCTATCAAGAAAATGTTACACACAAACACCGGTTCACATGGTTGATGTGAAAGCCTGATGTCTGTCTTGTGCAATACTGTATAAGCTGTTGTCTGTGTTTAATGCATCTGAATTGCTTAAACCATAATATCTCAACCATGGAAGATTTCTCATTTGTTTCATCCCATCTAATAAATCTCTTCCCAGCTTTAGTCTGCTGATATTGATGATACTTCATGTTGTAGTTTGTGCAAAACTGTGAGAGGGATTATGTAGGTTTCAGTGAAAAAGATCCCAGCAAGATGCTAATGGTGGGTTTAGAACTGCCTATTTGCCGAAGGCAACTTGTTCTTCTAAAGCATAGTATGTTTGTGCCATCCTTTTGCTTGCTGCTGCTGGGAAGACTTATTCCACTAAACAGACTTTCCAACTTAACACTGTGATTCTGCAAAGAGCTGATATAGCACCAAGAGAATGAAATTCTGCAACAATGTTTGATGCATTGAAGACAAATGAAAAGTGTGGATTGTTTGCTGTTAGTGTGTTGACATTTTCACATTGGTAAATGTTCTCTCAAAATGTGACTACATTCATCAGTTGTGAACTATTGTACATGAGTTTTGTATCTGAAATCCACTCGAAGTATGTGTATTACCAATATAAAATAAACGTATTTGCTTAAACATTTCTGGGTTTCCTTGTGTGCATCTGTACCAACTTTTGCTGAGCTTATGCTCATTGAGATACTGGTGCTAGATGAAACCCTTTATGGTTGAGAGGTTCAATGGCATTTTTGGCAAGAGAAGGGAACCTGATTTTGATTTTTAGCCCCAAGTCCTCCATGACAGAGTGCAAAAACCAACTTCCTCCTGATAGCTTTGTGTTGCATCTGTTCTGCACTGTCATAATTTGTTGTGGCTTTGTTGCTGGTACTAATTAAGTACTCCCTCTTTCTAATGGCAACTGGCTTTCAGGGCTGTTTGATACAAGCAGCAGAGACTGACTACAGTTAAGCATGCCTTATAATAGAAAATGTAATACCCCATTTTCAGGTTTTTTTTAACTTTGCCAAACTTCAAACAGGAGCCAAACAGAAGTGCGTAGGTTTCAGGAAGACTGGCAGAAGAGTTGATTATGATACTCGACAATCCTCGATTCTAGTCCTGGTTCTGGAAGGGAGTATAGTATTCTGCTTCGGTCAAGCAACACTTGTGAATGCCCGAACAAATTGTGTGCCCTCTGCCTCCAGCAGCTAGCCTACACTGGAGCAACCAGCTCCTTGACCCTCTGCTGGCTGCAGGCACCCAGTGCCTCAGGCAAAGCTGCTGCTGGCCCATGGGCGTCAGGCCAGTAGCGCTGGGTGCAATTGGCTTTCCCAGTTGTTTCCTACGCTGGGCCACACCAAGACTTGCTTGTAACAGGCGCAGGCTGTGGGGATAAGCACTTGCATGTGCTAACCACCAGAGGGAGCCCTGTCTG